CACAGGCTAGTGTGCTTCTTCCATGTGGGCTTTGATGCTTCTCAGCTAGATGGCCGCTTGTTTATCTTCAAGCCTTTAAGACCCTAGACACTATATGTTTTGATAGCCGGGCACCATCAACTTTCTTCACCACATTTGCTTATGCACACATTTTTCTTCAGCAATTGTGTAGGGAGCATTCTCTGAATATTTTCTGAACATACAGATTGAAATAAACTATCCTCTTGTTCAGTTTGCACAATTGTCTCTTGATCCATGTATTGATTCCACATAAGCACAGTGCAGTGATTCACATGCTCAAATGCCTTAGCAGAGTCAATAAAACACAAGTAAATATATTTTTGGCATTCTCTTCTTTTAGCCAAGATCCATCTGACATCAGCAATGATGTCCCTTATTCCATATACTCCTATGAGCCCACCCTGTTTAATTTTCCCCTGTAGCAAACAATCACATCTACCTGGCCTATAGGTGGCGCTGTGGGATATATGTTGAGTTACCAACCACCATCAGTCATTCTTGGGGAGAAAAATGAAACTTTCTGCTCCTATAATGATTTACAGTCTCAAAAACCCTATCTAGGGTCACTGTGAGTCAAAACCAACCAGATGTCATCGGACACATGGACAGAGATTTTTACTGATTAGCCTTCATTGAGTCGTCCCAGTTTCCCACTTGGTTTTCATAGAAATAACTCTTCTTTTTCATATTCTATTGCTTTATATAATACACACGATTTTATAACAATTATGACTGTCCTAACCAGGTGAAGACAATGTGAACAGATGATTTGTAAGCATGCCACACAACCGAATGGGATAAAGATACATTTGTGTTTTCAAAAGTTCCCTTTTCCTGAATTATCACCATGCTAAAGGTTCTGGAAAGCAACACTTGCTCATGGTGAAGTTTGGTTAAGTGGCTGTTAAATAGCAAGATCTCAGTTGAGAGTTTTTGTTGTAGTGCATTCATTATATAAAATGTAATGATTTCTTTAATAGCATTTCCTTATTAGATTTTGTGCATAGACACTTTATTTTAGAATGGTTTTGATAGAAGCTGATGGACAAATGAATGGATGGACTCTTAAGAAGATGGATGAATGACTGTCACATCTATTTTTTTTTCACATCTATTTTTATATCTTTGTTATTCTCATTAAAATACGTTCCATCTAATTCCTTTTGATTATTTGAATTAAAGCTAATCTTTAAGGCCTAGTTATGACCCATTATTTCTACAAATCCTTTTCTAACCACTTCAATTTAAAGGTGTATTTTATTTAGCACATTTTTTTATGGTTTATAGTTTTAATTACTGGGTATAGTTCCAATATTTTCTTCTTTCAATTTCATGATGTTCATTGAAAGTCTGTTACTAACTAAGATGTGGTATTTGTGGTCATATCGGTCACATTTACTACTGAACTTTTAAGGAACTTTATGGGTGACAGGTTGCAGCAAGGAAAAAAACACATGCAGTTCAGCACTTACAGGAAGGAGGTGTCTCTAAATCATTTGTCTATTAGTATTAAAAGTGTGATCATATCAAGACAGAGATAACAAGTTTGTTAGTCCAGGTTGACTAGAGAAACAAATTCATAGACACTCATGTGTGTAAGAGAGAGCTTTATATCAAAGAGCAATTGTGCATTAAGAAAACATCCCAGCCCAGTCCAGGTTGAGTCCATAAATCCGATATTAGCCCATATGTCTGTTACCAGTCTATAAATTCTTCAGACTCACTCAACACATGCAGTGACACCGAGTGCAGCAGGATTACAGGCCAGTGAGTGGAAAGTCTTGTGGATCCAGTGGTGGTGGAAACATCTCAGTGTTGGCATGGGTCTCTACGCGTCTCCCCCAGCACCAGGGCTCTGGCTCCATCAGGGTAGCACCATGTGTCTTGTCAACAGGAATGTCTCAGAGAGTGAGAGTGTGTCTGAACTCCAGTGAGCTATTTATCTCCGTAGCACCTCCACATGAGGTCATCAAGCTACGACCTCACTGACAAACTAGACTCCAGTCCTTCGCAAGTTGACAGGAGATTATGTAACTGCCACAACAAAGAAGAGTCATACTAAGTTCAAATCATGAACGTACCAACCTCTCATCTGTTCTTGTTTTCTTACTAAAGATGTTTGTCTGCTTTTTAGAGTTGCTTTCAGCTCTAGAAAATCTGCAGTATGGATATTATTTAGCCACAATGCATGAGCATAATAGGAGGTGATTTGTATTGGGATAACAATGTAGATTACTAGACAAAATATGATATAATTAAGACGTGTCATTGATATAATAGCATGTTAGTAGCCCGTTGCTTCAGGAATGCCTTGTTTTCTTTTTGTTTTGCAATATAACTAATGGAATGCTTATTTAAAATGTGAACAGGTGTTGCTCCTGTACCACAGAGTGCTGTCAGTCTTGATTTTAGTGGTTTTTCCAGAAACCAATTTGTTCTACATCATTTTTCATAAAACCACTTGAATTATATATACATACATAAACCCTGGTGGTATTGTGGTTATACATTGGGCTGTGAGCCACATGGTCAGCAGTTTGAAACCACCGGCAGTTCCATGGGAGAAAGACTGGACTTTCTACTCCTGTAAACAGAGTCTTGGAAGCCCACAGGGGGTTGCTATGAGTCAGCATTGACTCGATGGCAGTGAGTTTGACTTTTGTTTTATATATCTATAAATATATCTTTGTAAAATGAAGTTGTACCTGAAGGCTAGTCTTTCTGAGTCTGGCCTGCATGTTTCTTTGCCTAGACATATAAACATAAATAGGCCTTCTGTATTGAAATTGAAAGTGAAGTATTGTCAATTTTGTAACACTTCTCAGACGTTTTATTTTGTTGTTGTTGCAGCTGCCTCTCAAAAAAGAAGCTGTGATTCTCACTAATAGCCTAAGTCTGTGTGAGTGTCCCAGAGTTGATTTTTTACAATACAAGGATGAGAAGAAAAGCTCTTTGGATCCTGAGCTCTTCAGACATGGTAGTATAAATATGCTGTAATGAACTTTAAAGTTCTGAGTCTCCAAAGTCATTTGTCTTTTTCCTGTTAGTTTTCATACGTGGCTTTATCAACTCGGGAAATATTCTGCAAGCCATTTTATTTAGTATTTGCCAACCTAGTGATAGATGACATTCTGATCTCTTCACACTGTCAACAAATATTTACTAATTATTATGTGTTAACATTAATAGGAAGAGGTATGTTCATTTATTACTCAAATATTTCATCTAAGAAACGATAGTTTCAGAGTCTGTTTTTGTTCAGGATGTTTACCCTAAAAATAAACGTAATAGATGCATGTATGTATGTATGTATAAATGTATGTACACATGTGTGTGCTGTTGGTTGCTGAGCATCAACAGTGACTCGGGATAACCCTGTGTGCTGCAGAGAACTGCCCCAGGGAGTTTTCTTAGCTGTGGTCATTAGCACAAACTCTTCGTGCCACCTAAGGACCTTGTGTGTGCACGTTTCCACATCTGCTGCCTTCGAGTCCGTTCTGACTTACAGTCACCTTATTAGGATAGAGTACATTTTAAGAGGCTGCATGTCTTTATGGGAGCAGAAAGCCTCATCTTTATCCTGCAAGAGTGCTTGGTGGGTTTGAACTGTTAACTTTGCTGTTAGCAGCCCAACATATAACACATGATGCTACCAGAGCTCCTATGGATACACACACCCTCTACTCAAATTTGTAGGAAAAAGGGGGGTAAAAAAGGACTTGGCTTAAGTATGTGACAACTGTACAAAACACCATGCAAAGCAAGGGATAAGAAAGCCTGGTTTGGGAAGACAGCTATATAATGGATTGGTATCCACAAATCAGTTACAACTTAAAATTGTCTAAAGACAAATTGTGAAGTGTATGGATTGCTTTATAAGTTTCCTTAAATAAAAGATAAACCTTTGATAGTGCAATGTATCCACAGCTATCAGTAATTCCTTTATAGCCTGAATATATGTGCCGTGACACCTGGGAGAGCCAGAGCTCGATGGACCTGCCTTGTGTTTCTGACCCTCCCATGGTGCATTTTGTTTCCTGAGCGGTTCGTTATTCTCTGTTCTCTGAGTTCTATTTTCACACAAGCCGCAGCTTATAAAGGCAAAAAGGAAGGAGGTGCCCGCGGGACCATGGTGCGATTTTAACACTTTGCTGTGCTTGTTCTTTTGTTGTTTTAGTAGAAATATTTGAGTTTACCTTCATGAACAGGTTTCTGCCTTATGCAGTTTCCAACTTTTATAGGTGTGTGTGTGTGTGTGTGTGTGTGTGTGTGTGTGTGTGTGTGTAACCCCAAACCCACTGCCATTGAGTCAATTCCACTTTACAGTGACCCCTTATGGAATTTCTGAGATTTGTTTTTACATGAGCAGATCGTTTTCTCTTTCTCCTGTGGAGCAGTTGGTGGGTCTGAACCACTGACTTGACAGTGCCTGGAGGCCTCCTTAAAAGATACTTCTGAAAAAGGAAAATGAGGAGCTAATTCCAGGAACCCAAGCGGAAAGCGAATTTTGAGAATGATGAGGGCAACAAATGTATAAGTGTGCTTTACACAATTGATGTATGTATGGATTGTGATGAATTGTATGAGCCCCAATAAAATGATTAATAAAAAAAAGATACTTTTGGAAGAACATCTCTGGTACCTACAGACATGGGAAAAAAGACAAATTTATCACATCCTTTCTTGCCTCATTCTCTTCCACCCTTCATTCTTCAGTTCCACCATATACAATATATGTTTAATGTGTGGTAGACATTTGGTAATTGATAGGGATATGGCTGGACACAATTCCTTGTTCATGGTACTTATAAACATAAGTGAACAACCATACACATGTAAAAGTATAATTATCATAAGGGCTCTAGAGACAAAGTAGTAATAAATAGTACCAAACAATGTATTCTAGATCAGGTCAATAAGGAATCCTATTCTTTGGTCTCAGCCATTCAAGGTACTGAAAATTGTCAGAAATTTGGTTAGCATACATGTAGAGTAGTGTTATACTAGGTTCTAGACTCTAGCTCTGGAGTTAAACTATGTATATTTTGAATCTTTTATTCAGTTAATAATGATCAAGTTATTAAATCTAGAAAGAGTTTCTTACTTGGGAAAATATATATGCTTTTCCTTTTTTTCTCATATATTCCCAAATCAATGATTCCCTCATATTTTACAAGATCCTTCTGGAATATGGTTTTCAAAATTACTAGGTTGCTATGTTCCTGCAGAGCCCTGGGCGTGTAGTGGGCTGTGCACTGAGCTCCTTAACCACAAGGTCAACAGTTTGAAACCACCAGCTGCTGTGCAATAGAAAGAACAGGCTGTCTACTCCTGTAAAGATTTAATGGGCCATTCTAGTCTGTCCTAGAGAGAAACTCTCAGTCAGCATCCACGTGATGGCAGTTCCCTCAGCAAAGTGGATGGGCACAGTGACTGCCACCATGGAGGGGCCAGCGCTTCATTCGCTTGTGGAGAGTCCCAACGAGGTGGAATGGGCTCAGAAGCACCCAACAGCAACAGATTGTGTGCAACTTATAAACCGTACATAGTAAACATGAGTGTTGAAAAAAGCATGGAAATGTTTCATGTGCAGTGGCTGGAAGTATTTTTTTAGGGATCAGTGATTACAGGAATCCTTAGGATTTGAGGACTATCAAAGTTCTTTAAGAATCAAAAGGGAAAAGAAATAGCCATGCTTATTCATTTTATAGACATGTATTGAGTGCCTTGTGCTAGGTGCTGATGATAAAGACATGAATATTTACGCAACTGACAAAAAAAAAAAAAAAAGGAAGGCTTTTCTTATTTTTAACTGCCTCATGAAATCAAAGTGCACTTTCCTTCTGACTTTTATACAAAGCTTCGCGTAGTACAACCACAGGACACTGTGCAATCCTTTTTGTAACAATTTCATCATTTCAACAAATGCTTTTTGAGTTCCTATTTTGGGCAAAGGTGGGTGTTCTATGCCATTCATGGGCAATGTAGCTAGCTAGCTAGGATCTCTGTCTTTACAGAACAGATAGTCAAGCGTGGGGACAGAATGGGGAAATTATGAGTAAGAGTGAAGATTAAAAATGATTTCTGTTTTTCCACAACTAGGTATCCTCCTCATTACAAAGGTTTTCCTTGGTCATAGTGTTCAGGCTATGGAGGTGGACAACATCTGTCAAGACAACTATCCAATGGTTAATTCCGTGTTCATTCCTCGGAAATATTTACTAAGTATGTGAGCCATAAAGAGAAGCATGCGTTCATCCTCATGAATACAAAATGCATATGCCTACATTTTAGACCCTACTTTTCAAAGTTGTAGACATTTTTATGAAACGATGTTCCAACTAGTTTTTACGCTTCCTACTTCAGTAACGTTTATGAATGTATAAGTACAGATATTATATTTTGCAAAATTTTATTATTGCTTATATTTTATTCATTATAGATGCATATGTATATACATATTTCAATTGCTAGTTCTCAAAGAATAGACAAAAATACCCAACTTGTAGCACAGAATGTTTTGACATGTTAATTTGTAAAAAACAATATGGTTACACATTGACTAAAAAAGTGAAAAAAGAAAAGAACATGAATAAAATCAAATCTTCCTAATCTGTGTAGAGGGAGGACCAGTGAATAAGTGAATGCACGGAGATGTCTTGTTGGTAGAGCGAGAACAGACACCAAAGCCTCAATAACTGAATTATTTATTAATCATTCATGAAATTATTAATTGTGAGTTAGTTTATTAATCAAGTACAAGTACAAATATGTATTATGCTTCATTTTGAAGAGGTATTTTGTTGTCAGTTTTGCTTGTGTTTTTATTTACTCTCCAGATTCTATTGAACAAAAGCACTGTGACTGCAGCCTTCGGCAGTGCAAGTGGTTTGTCTTTGATCACGACTTTGTTTTGCCGGAATACATCGTTGAATTTGAGTTCCTTACAATGGTATGAGTTGTTCTGCATTTTTAAAAACCAGAATTCTTTAAATGGGAACAGAAAAGTATTTGAATTCTAATAATGTTTTGTCATATATGTATATCTCTCTGTGTGTATATATTTATATACACACACAATGATATACTGTAAAGGCCTTAATTTTCAAACCAAATCAAATTATGACACCTAAATATCTGTATTACACAAGTAAGAGTCTTAGAAGGAAAGATTCAGGAATCTTGAAGCTTCATTGAAGATTGTATAACTGAAAATCTGCCTTCCACCCTGGCACCTCTCCCCTTCATCAGTTCGTCCATTGTGAACGACTGGGTTTGCTTGTCCTTCTGTGGGGTTTCCATATGATCCTCCTGTGAAAAACGCAGCGCCACAGGTCTGCCTTGTTTTCAGGCCTCCAGGGTTTTTTTCCTTTGACAGGATGGAGTAGTACCACTTATTGGATGAGTTCAGTGAGAAATATTTGTGTTTTCCTTCTCTGACAGGTTTTCACCTTGTACTGATTTCAGCTTCCACTGCTTACTGTAGAGCACACATATCACCTTACGCATTTGAATCACAAGCTGAATATTCTGTGATGCTTTTGCCCTTTGTGATAGGTTTGGGACACATTTTCATTTCAGTACCCATAGGTTTACACTTCATTCTTTTGGTAGCTAAATACTCCAGTAATACTTTAACTAGTCCACAGTTGATTAAATATATAGGCTGCTTCTAGTTTACTTCATTAAAAACCACTGCAGTGAGTATCATTTATAGACATATTCTTATACAAATATGGAAGTTTCTCTGCAGAAAAAAAATGGTAGGAGTATTGGAGAGTTAACAGAGCCCTGGTAGCCTAGTAGGTTACATGCTGAGCTGCTGACCTAAAGGTCGGCAGTTGGAAACCAGCAGCTGCTCCATGGGAGAAAGAGGAGGCTTCTTCCTTCTGTAAAGAGAAGGGCATGTACATTTTCAATTTCATTAGATTATACCAGTTTCCCTCCACAAATGCTTGAGCATTTTACAAAATTCCTACAGAATGTAGTGATCTTTGTTACTTTGTGTTCTTTTTTTAAATCACTTTACTGGGGGCCCATACAACCCTTATCACAATCCAAACATACATCAATTGTGTAAAGCACATTTATACATGCGTTGCCCTCATCAATCTCAAAACATTTGCTCTCCACTTAAGTTCCTTGGCATCAACTCCTCATTTTCCCCCCTCCTTCCCTGTTCCCCCTTCCCTCATGAACCCTTGATAATTTATAAATTATTATTTTGTCATATCATACACTGCCCGACATCTCCCCTCACCCACTTTTCTGTGTCCTTTGTGCTCTTAAGAACACTAGATATTATCAACCTTTTGTTTGTTTTTCAACTTTGATGGACAAAGACCAGGATATTGTCTTTAATATGAGGGACCTTCAAGAAGTTTGTGGAAAAACTCCATTCTTCTTTAATTCCATTTTTTTCCACAAATGTTTTAAAGCCTCCTCATATGCTCCTGTATTATAGTTCCCCAAAACACTTTTGATTTATGATGGTGCTGGGAATTATATCACTTGATTATATTTCTAGGGGCTCTATGTTTCATATTAATTGAAAAACCTTTACATAAATTCTAGCTATTAGTCCTTTATTTGATATATATATTAAAAGTATTTTCTGATGCATGTCCTTTAATTTTGTTATTTATAACAAAAATTCATTTGTCATTTAACTTGTAACTTACATATTAAAGTTCTAAGTTAAAACCTCTCAATATTTCCCTAGTAGATTATAAAACTTGTTTAATTTTGAAAGACTTACATAAGCATTCTCCTTTTTTTCCCAGCACTTTATAGCTTGTTTTAAAATCCATAACTGGAAAAAATATTGTTGTATATGAAATTCTGCCTAGGCAGATTTATACTAAAACCTCTAAATTGAAAAAAAAAATTTTATATAACAAAAAATTTACCAATTTAATCGTTTTTCATATGCAATTCAATGGTATTAATTGCATCCATCATGTTATACTACCACACCATTTGCAAAGTTTTCATCACTTCAAACATAAATTAAGTAACAATTAGCAGCAACTCTATCCCCTCTGTACTGAATCCCCAGAAACTACCAATTTATTTTCTGTCTATCCCTTTGCCTATTCTGGATATTTCATGTAAGTGGGATCATACAATATTTGTCGTTTTGTCCTCCTTTTTTCACTCAGCATCATATGCTAAGCGTTCATCCACATCATAGCATGAATCAGTAATTCATTCACCTTTATGGCTGGATTAGATTTCATTGTATGTATGTTTGCTTATTGATTCATCTGTTGTTGGACACTTGAGTTGTTTCCACCTTTTGAAAGTTGTGAAAAATGCTACAATGAACACCAGTGTACACAGATCTGTTTGTGTCACTGTTTCCCAGTTTCTTGCTCTTGGAGTGGAATTTCTGGGTCATATGGGAGTTCTCTTTTCATGTCTGGAACTATCAAGCTCTTTTGCATAGTGCATGAAGGTTTCAATTTCTCCAATCCTCACCAAAACTTATTTTCCATTGTTCTAATAATATTCACCCTAAACAAAAGAAACAAAGTCATCCCGTCAGCGATAGCTCACAGAGACTCTATACGACAGACAGAACTGCCTCAAAGCTTCTTGCATCATGTTTATTACCGTAGACTGGACATCTCTTCATGTGCTCACAGGGCATTTTATTCCTTTGGAGAAGTATTTATTCAATTCCTTGGCCCATCTTCCAATTGGGTTGTTTGTCTTTTGTTGTTTAGTTGTATGAGCTATTTATATATTAAAACTTTTATACATTTATTGATTAAATTCCCTTCAGGTTTCTTCTAAAACCACTTATTCTGTTTATTCACATAGCTCTTGCTCTTTCATTTACATTTACCCTTACATTTCTTACTGTAATTACTAAACTCTCATAATTTCCTAGAGCATCATTCAGCACTCTCCTGTGTGTTGGATGTCTCTGGATCTGCTCCTCAAAGAGTTTATTGTCTGTATATGTTCTGACCAGAAGTTACCGTTCTGCATCCATGTCTTTGTAGTTCAGTCCCTCTGCTTTATTTCTCATCATGTCTAGTCCTTTGTTTGTATCCTCTCTATTATTACATAATGTAGTTTTTGAAATATATATTTCAAAGAATTTTCAGTGAGAGGTAATGGACCCACCCATGCTTAGCCCAGAATCTTAATCTATTCTCATAGATTTTTGATTAGGACTCTGATCATCATAGATACTACCTTGTAACTGAGAGAATTTAATTCTTCATAGTCCCATTGCCTATTTAATTTGCACATTTTCAAATTTCCTTTTCAAAATGATAAAGAGCAACGGAATTTTCAACATTTTTGATACATTTTTTTTAGGTCAAGGCTCAATCTTTATTTTCTTCATTCAACAATATTCTAGAAGAAAGCAAAAAACAGTATGAAGGATCAGTTTTATCCTATGAGTTGAAACTGGATGAAGAAGTTATGAAAATGGAGCCCTTGATCAAGCCTAGACCGAAACTTACTACTTTGGATGAAAAAACAATACTTTCGATTGCCAGAGCTCACGTTTACAGTCATATTGTGGTGAGTATTATGAGAAATTAAAATGGGTGGGTCTGGGCTTTAAGCCTGGAATCAGACTCTGTCACGTGAAGTCTACAGCACTACTCCATGTACATGATTGCCTCAAGGTATCATGCTATCTCTAGAGGAAGAAGTAATTCAGGTGGGCCACAGACACACACGGGGAACACCTGCTTAGCTGCAGCAGCCATTTTTACTTGTTAATTCCTGTCCCAACAGTCAGGTAGCAAGCATCTAAGAACAAAAAATCATATCATTGTAAAGGTGGGTGAGTGCAGAGTGGAGACTCAAAGCCCATCGGTGGGCAACTGAACACCCCCTTACTGAGGGGTTGTGGGGAGGAGACGAGCCAATCAGGGTACAGGGCAGCAACGATGAAACATATAACTTTCCTCTAGTTCTTTAATGCTTTCTCCCCCCAACCCACTATCATGATCCCAATTCTACCTTACAAATCTGGCTGGACCGGAGGATGTACATTGGTACAGATAGCAACTGGAAACACACGGAATCCAGTATAGATGACTCCTTCAGGACCAGTGGTGAGAGGGGCGATGCCTGGAGGGTGAAGGGAATGTGGGGTAGAAAGGGGGAACCAATTACAAGAATCTAAGTATTGCCTCCTCCTTGGGGGATGGACAGCAGAGAAGAGGGCGGAGGGAAACATCGGACAGGGTAACTTATGACAAAACTATAATAATTTATGAATTATGAAGGGTTCATGAGGGATGGGGGAGTGGGGAGGGAGGGGGAAAATGAGCAACTGATATTAGGGGCTAAAGTAGAAGGCAAATATTTTGAGAATGATGAGGGCAACAAATGTGCATACGTGCTTGACACGATGGATGTATGTATGGATTGTGAGGAGAATTGTACGAGCCCCCAATAAAATAATTTTTTTAAAAATTAACTGACAGGATTTGAGTTACTTATGAAAGCATACTTAGACTTTATTCTGAGACCATTCTATGGCGACTAAGCCTGTCTCCATACCTAATACCCAAACGTGTCCCTTTGGATCTGCTGCTGTTACTGTACACAAGCTACCACCATCCGTGCCAGACCTAGCCTTCTACCATCTTCACCCCATAACTGATTTGCCTGTGCTTTACCATTGCCACTGCACCAGTCTGGAGGGCACTGCTGACTCTGTTTATTGTTAACGTGCCTGATGGATGCTGTTTACTACACAGCTGAACACAAGGTGGGGCTACCTCCTAGAATTATGAAGCAGAGGCTCCATCCAGCTTCCAATCTGAGTTCCTGATGTGCATTCCATATGGACGATAGAGTCATCTTTTCAAAATGTACATAAGATCACCCCTTAAAATCACACTGAAAATTCTCAAATGGTTTTCCATTGCTTTTAAAATGAAACCCAAATCTTTCATATATCTTCTAAGGCTTTGTCACCGAACAATCACAACAACCTTGTCTGGACTAGCATCAGCTGTACCAAGACTCTACCACAGGACATGGCACACATTAGATATTTCTTGAAAAATGAATGGGCTTTTTTCAAACAACCAGTGGTTCTTGCAGATGAAGTGGGTTGCTGGCGTGAACCTGCAGAAAAACAAATAGCTGTGCTTTGGGAAGACAGGTTATCCTTACATGACCCTGCAGAACAGCGCCTCCTCTCCTCGTCAGAGTGCCCTGGGAGCTGAGATAGACAATCCGAGATTGTTATCTTGAAAATCAATTACCCAGCTCCAGTGTCAAATTTTCAGACCTTGTCTAAAAGGACAAATGTTTCCAGTCATTTTTTAAAACAGAGGGAATGAAAAACTATTTTTAAAATAGAATAACTTGAGGTCAATGGTCTTAAGTTGATTTCTGAAAATATTCAGAAAAAAGTTTCACTTTTTAAGATGCCATTAAATTGCCTTGCTGAAACAATATCATCTCAATCCACACATGGCAGCTCTACAGAACAGCCAAATCTTTAGGGGGCTAGAACAGCTCCTTTTTCTCCCCAAGAGCCACTGGTGCTGTCCAAATGCTGCTCTTGCACTTGGCAGCCCAGAGCCCACTCTACGAGGGCACCAGGGCGCCAATCTTCAAGTTACCGAGATCACGTCCTCACCGTAGCCATTTGTTACAGAGGAGGAACATTTTCATAACATGATAAACCATAACACCATCATTATCATAAATGTGCGCTATCATGATCACAGGAGTTTTTCAGCTGCTAGCCTTGAGATATTTTTCTGCATGATAACGTCAAGACTTACTATTTGAGTAATAACATTTAATAAAATCCTAGTAATGTGTGGGAGTCTGCACGTTCCTCAGTCCATGACCTGTGCCGCCCGCTGTCTTTAAACTTCCCGTTCCTGGATGTTCCCTGGCCTATTGTCCTGCCTGAGTTTTTTGAATTGCTTCGCCTTTGTGATGATTGGTGCTCGGTGGCAGGCAGCCGCCATGCTCATTGGACACCTCCGCCAGGCATCCAAATGCACCTCATTTGCATGCGGACCTGTTTGAGGACTGATGCCTGCCATTTCTTCCATATTTGGTGGCTGCGTGATTATTGGATACTACCCATTACACTTTATTAGCATATGATGTAATGTTACCCGCCCACCACATTGGGTATTTAGGCCTCTGCCTTCTGCTCAGTAAACAAGACTTGATCAGAATACTGTCTTGTCTCCATTTCTCGCGTCTCTTGCCCCTCTTCATTCCCAGACCCTTTTTCAGGTATCCACGTTGTTTGATGACCTGCGGGATGGGTCAGTAATGAAAAAAATATTTTTAAGTAAGTGCAATGGTTAGGGTGAGTTTCCACAAAAATGTACCTCTGTAGCCCTAAAGGTACTAAATAAAAGTAAAAAGCTAGCATCTGAAGGTAGATCTCTTGATTATCCATCTTTAATTTGCAGGATAAAACACAAACACTGCTTATGACCCTAAGTCACTTTTCATTCATGTGATCAACACTTTTAACATACGAATGGAGATGTTTTTAAATTTTGGCTATGTTGTTTATAACTAGAAATGTTCTAGGGCTTTTAATTGCTAGAGATTTTGTGGTTGAAAGGGGCCAGCCCCCCACCACTAATCACGGGTTTAGTAAGCACAATTGTACGGTTGAGATACATAAAGATTATTATAAAATCACAGAGAGCATGAGAGAGAGAAGAGAGAGTCAAATAATGGAGTCAGACACATTTTATGGTAGCGTGCTCACCTCCTGGATGGCCATGATCTTACCAGTCAGGTCCAAGCACAGCGTGGGCCCAGTCGAGGTGGGGCAGAGACCCGGCAGCCGCCTGGAAACCGGCAGGAGGCTCGAGGACCCCGTTTATTGCTAACCAAGGGTTATATCTACTTAGGGCGGCATGCATACAGGTAACCACACGTCACAGGAAGGGGCAGTATAATAGGTATACATATCAGGAAGGGGATGCACAATAGGCATAAGCGTGACAGGAAGGGGATGAGCTAGGGGTGTGCACATAGGAATGGGAGAGACTAGAAGTATACATGTGACGAGGGGCTGAACCTACATTCAGGATGGCCTAACCTTGGTCACCCTTGGGTGGACTTGACCTCTCAGGGCTCTCCTACAAGGAAACAGTCAAGTACTATCCTTATCAGAAGGGAGTGGGCCCTACTTGTTGTGGGATAAACAATGGTGTCTGCTTGCTCTAGATGGCTGATAACCCTTAGGGAGAATAACCCCTGATTTCTTCTGATGACCTCCAAGTGGATAGTCATTCCCAAAGTTGGGCATATATTTGGGGGAGACAACTTGGGGGAAATCTTTGTTTCCCACAAGATTTCAAGAATGTTTAGGCACCATTTGCACTCACTCTTTTGTGTCATTCCTGTAAGAGAAATTCCAGTCTATACCTCACATTGTAATCAGTCTTCCTCAGTAAGTGGAGTTCCATTAGGCCATCATATACAGATAAAAACCCTGAGTAGATAGTATATACCTTTACTTGCTTTTATCACCCAAAACCCATCACCACTGACTTGATAGTGACTCATCATGACCCTACAAAGGGTTTCCACAGCTCTCCAGGAGCAGATCCCCTCCTCTGTCTCTATTGGCAGGTTTGAACTGACAACTATGTGATTAGCAATCCAGCGCTTACCTGAGAGCACCACCAGGACTCCAGATAGAGCACAATTATGTACTTAAAAATTGAGTTCTCGGTGGCTGTCATGACTCATCCTCAGACCTGTCCGAGGCAGTGCAGCCCAGGATTGCAGAGTGTCCTGCATGCCAGTCATTCAGTAGTGGCCACTATTCTACTCATGTTTCCAGGCCAAAGTCATAACTTGAACCACTGAGAAACTGTCATAAAGCATCTGCAGAGCATTCCCTCTACAAGTAGAATCACATCAGGCAGATGGCGACTTGTTTGGATGCCCCAGGAGGACTGTCACCCTCTTTCCACTGAGTCCAAGAGGATTGTTGCTTTGCTCCACTTGACAAATCTCAGCTTGCCCCGGCAATCTACCCTCCAGAAATGAGGTGTAAAAAAACTATAAGGACCTTGTGCATGACAGTCTTATCTGTTATTTTCCCAACCTTCCAAGGTCCTGTCATCAGGGTCAAACCTGACATTAATGAATAAGCAGTTACTTGGCTAACATGGAACCCCTGAGTTAACAGTCCTTGAAGTTCCTGATGACACAGAACGTAGACTTAGGTTGTCCCATAACACTGAACGTGCTCATCACATTGTTCAAGGACTCCCAGAACAATAACCATATGAGAATTTTAGAAAGGCAACAGTAAGTATATAGACATCTTCTACAGTCCATAACCTGTTATTAATATATCTGCTTTCTCATCCACCTGTCTTCTCAGCACTGGTGTCAGAGTCACGCGTAGAATCTTAAGTTCCAAATGCACAGGTCCAGCCGAACAGACAGCACTGCAAGTACATGTGGTGGCTTGATGGTCACAGATGGCTACTTTCAAGACTCTTCACTTCCTTTACAATTGTGATTTGAGCTTGATCTTAATTCCAGAAGTAAAA